TATGATCCCCCTTACATGAAATATCTAGAATAGACAAATTCAGAGGCTGAAAGCACATTAGTTACCAGAGACTGGGGTGAAAGGGGTATGTGTGGCAGTTTGTTTGGGGTGATGAAAAAGTATGGGAAATGGTGGTATGTTTGCCCAACATGGATAGTATGTCATCACTGAATTGCACACTTAAAACTGATTAAAATGGCAAATATTTATGTATAATTTCTTAGAGCTTTAAAAAAAGGAAGAAAAATCAACACTGAAGTCATTCCCTACTCGTCTTGCTTCTCTGGGGATATCTGTGGGGGGCAAAATCTTTCATGAGCATTTAAAAAAATCATTGAAGGGAAGATGAACACAGGTAGAGACAAATGCATGATGTAGGGTCATCCAATTAAAAGTGACACTTCTCTATTATTAACCCACAATTTCTCAGCAAAGCAAAATCTGTGAGCTGGTACTTGGAAAATCGCCAGTTCCATAAGCTATTTAATTTTTCTGGATAGAGTGTAAAATAACTGCTAAAGTCATAAAAGATACCATATGGCACCAAAGACAGGGAAACAAGAGCTCTATTTTCTTGTTGTTGTTATTCAATGAACAATTAGTTTTCTACTCTGTTTTTAAAAAAGGTGCCGTCGAGAGAAAAATTTCTAAAGTGTCAAGAAGACATATCCAAAATGGAAAGAAAGTTGAAAAGATAAATAAAATGAGCATTCCTTTAGCTATATTTGGTGGAGCCCTGCTGAGAAAAATATTCCAGCCAGGCAGCATTGAGACATAGTTTATTAATGCAGTTTCCCCCACAGCAGGACACAGAAAGAGAAATTGGTAAAACAGTCACATTAAAAAATTATGACTCCTACATCTGATCTTTATGAATACACAGAAAAGAAACTGTCCTCACGAGTTGTCCTTGGGCTGTGCTGAAACAGAGAGGCAAAGAATGCTTTTCCTGTAAAGCCTCAGGACCGCCACACTATTTGCTGAGACATTGTAGGAACAGACTGAAAGTTACTTTCTACATTTAAGGGCTTTTAAAAGGTGTTTATATAGAAAAAAAAAAACCCTGAGTCAGATTTTGAGCAGTTCTCCCAATTACATTTTAAAACATGTGACTTGAGTCCTTTGTTTTTAGAGCATACAGAATGAAATCTGTTTGTATTTCCTTTGGGGAGATAATTGTCGTGGGTGGCAAACTGTGTACATGGGCTTTCCCTAGAATCTTAGAGCTGGGAAGAAGCTGACTATCTGACCAGTGTTTCCCTGAGTGTAGCCTGTGCACACTGAGGAATTTTGAAAAATGAGTTTCTAGGGACATAGTTAACACTGGGCTGTTTAAGAAGAGAAGGAATAGAGTAAAATTGAGCTGAATATTAAGGATGTGGGGCAATACATCCTTTGTATTGTAAAACTCTGGGTTCACTTGTATACATGTGTATGGAGGTATTTGTGAGGGTCGCAGTGCGAAGTGTGTGTCTTTGTGGGTTCTGGTCAAAGATTTAGTAAGTTGCCAATCTAGCCAAATACCCTCTGTCCCAGGTAAAACACCCAAGACCTGAGAGGGGAAACCTAAGGCCGTTGAGGGGAAATGACTTTCACGTGATACACGACTGTCTTCACTCCCAGTATCCTCCCCATTTGATTCCCATATCAAATATTCCTGGAGGTCAGTGTCCACTCTTGTGGTTTCTAAACCACCTTGGCAGCAGGCATTTGACTTCCTGTTTGAGCAATTCCTGTGCTTCTGGATCAACCAGAATCCCCTCTCTCTTCCAGTATACTTGGCAACTTTATCCCATGTGGAATCAGTGGTTCTGGGGGATAGGGCAGGTGTGCACAGGAGCAAATAATCAGCGCCCAGGTTTGCAAGATCTACGACTGCTGAATAGCTAAGAAGTTGCAAGATCCCAGAGTGCACTGGTCCCTGGAGCTGGTAAGCCAGATGAGAAATAGAATCACAGCTGCCCTGTGAAAAAGAGAGGGTGCGTGTGACGACTCATATAGAGGGCACGCTCAGAAAGGAGACAACCAGCTGACAACTGTGGGCTTTAGGTAATTCCTGCCAGACTTATGCATTTTGGCTGGTCTTTCTGAGCCAAAATAGAAGCATGCAGAAAGTGTTCTAAGACTGCGGAGATATAGCAGGATTATGAAAGAACGTCTTGCCCTAGCCTTCCAAATATCTTTGGATTGACTTAGAGGAGAAAATGATCTACCCTACTAATAAACACTTCCACTGCCTTTACAATATGCCAGGCGCTGTTGTGAAAATACTACAAATATTTATTCTTCTAGTCCACATAATCAACTTCCACGCCTTAGAGGACTCTCTGAGCTACAGTTGTACACAAAAGTTGGAAAGTGTTGAGATGTGTAAAAATAATTTGTTTTCCCCCCTGATTTGAAGACAGGAGGGCAAGTACTCTTAATAGAGTTTAGAACTTGTCATTGACAAAGTGAATTAATCAACAGTCAAATCCAGGGAGAAAAGGTCAATTGCCTACTCTTTCTTGGCAGAAGGAATTGGGAGGAAGACTGGACTTCTTGCAAAGATTCATCACTTTTTGATGCTTTCCAGAAGTGGTGATGGATTTGCAATGAGCCATCTACTTTTTTTTTTTTTTTTAACTTGCCTTCATATATTTGTAGTATAGCTGCTTTGGTGCAGAGACTTTGCTTGGGGCCTCAAACTACCCACTCAAGCCCACATAGAGATCAAGTCTGTGCCCTTGACCTTATGATTCATGCTTTGCATAGTACCGGCAAAGGTTCCTCTCAGTAATTTGTTGAATTAGTTCATAACCACACTTCAAAAACTGACTTTAGAAATAGTTTTGAAGATGAAAATTAGTTGTTGTTTACAAAATGTTAAGAATGGCAAGAGTTTTTACATGAATAAGAAGGTTTTTATGAAGTAGCTATTATGTTTTATACCTAACATGTAGATCCCATAATACTCCGATCGAATCTCCATTTCATAGATGAGGAAACTAACTTAAATGACTTGCTGAAAGTAAAAAGGTGAGGGACAGAATTCAGAATATAGCCGGTCTGCAGAACCCATTACTCTTTGCATACCATGCTGCAGCCTGAAAGTTTTTTCTCCCTCTGAAAAATATTTGGTCTTAGCAGCATTCATTGACCATGGCAAAAGTTTAATTGATCTTTCCATGCCACAGCCTCCCGATTACCCACCAGGAAGAGCAATAGTTAAAACCAGTTCTCTTAATTATGCCTTGGTCCCCTTAACAACTCCACCATGTAATTAAACTTATTTCTTGAACAGGCAGATACGGTTCACTAAAGAATCTGAGAAGAGTTATTTAAATTATACTTCCTTCCTTGCTCTGGGTTACCCATGGTCAAGTCTGGGCCTGAAGCTAAAGTTCAGGAGGAATGTAGAGAATGCTACTGGCCTAGAATTCACCAGTACTGAAGTTTATATAGAAGCAGGGTGTATTTTTCCTGCAAAATCTGTGAAAATGTCTAACTTCTCTCTCTCTGCTCATTTTCTTCTAGGAACATGTTGGGTTTTGCAGAGTATTAAGCCCTTTCTTGAAGCAACCTCCTTTAACTTAGGAAGCAAATCTCACATGGTTATTAACCATGAGAAATGGAAGATTTCTTTTTGAAAGGGGAAATTATCAGAGGTCTCACATTAACAGTGTCTTGGAAAAAGGTCTATTTGCCACTAACAGAATATATCGTGGCTGAAATATGAAAAAATTTGGCCTAGACCACAGAATTTACGGACTCTGTTCTTTTTTACAGTTGAGGTACAATTTGGCTTAGCACACGGCGCTGAAAACATCAGGTTGATATTAAACAGTTAAATTGCATGCTGTGCTATAATGCAGTGGGAAGGGAAACCCACAGAGATTTAATATCTTCATGAGTCTATAAAACTATAGGCTTACAAATGCAAGTCAACTAAACTATTAAAGCCACCAAAAGTTGCTTTGAGATAAAGGTCATTAAATAAGAACAGGCAAGACCACATTGACACAAATAGCAGATAAAATGTCAAGATAACACACTAATGGGATGTAAAACAAACACAAACCAACCCAATCTCCCCTCCCCCAAGGTCATAAGGAGTTTAAGAAAAATCCAAAAATATTTAATAAGTTTGAAGTCCTTAAGACGGGACCCAGTGTCATATACCAAGTAGTGCCCATGTTCTTGGTCTCACAATGCTGAGGTGACTGTGCAATTAATTAGTACCTGAAAAAGACCAGTTCTCTTGAGTGAACGGGAGGAGTCCAGATGTTGGAGATGATGATCTCCTGGATGCAATGGATGAATTTATGCCAGGAGATTAAAGAGAAGAATTAATTTATGGCTTTCTCTACCTGTTTGCAATATGTGCTCAGCTTATTATGGGTACACATTGTGATGCACGGTAATTACAATGCTGAAAATAATGTGCAGCACGTGACCACTGTAGTTCAGTTTAAAGGGGAGCATTTGTCATATTTGATTTTGCACATCTGGTTCTATCATATTTGTTAAATGATTAGTATAGGAATATATGACAGTGAAATTCTTTGATATCAAAGTTTTATTTGCCAAGAAATCAACTACTTTTCTTCCCTTTCTCTCTATCATCCCCCACACCCTAAGCTGAACTCTGAAATTTCCAGCACTGGGCTTCATTTGAGTGCACAAGGCAGGGAATCTGTCCTTGCCTTTGTTCAATTCTATAGGTCCCCCAGTCACAACTGGGATATATCCGCGTCTGCCTCCTTTGTTTTAAAAGCACATTCTCAAGGGAGAAACCCTAAAGCTTATTTCTAAAGGGCGTCAGACACCTCAGTTAAAACCACAGCACTTAAATTCTAAATTTTAAATTCCCTTTTATTGAAATATAAGTTTGTTTAGTATATTTACACCACACTTTATGCACATATATACATAGAAGGCAAATTTTGTCAAATAAAAGTTTTTCTTAATAAAAAATTAAAATAAGAACAAAGTAAAGTGCATGAAACGGATTTCTTTTCCCTTCTGGAGTACATCGTCACTGTCAAAATTTTGGTCGGTTAGAGGGGGAGGAAGAAGAAATTCATTTTTGACTCAGCGCAAACAGCCTGTCTCGCTTGCTTTTGAAGCCTTTAGGCCAAAATGACAAGCAATAAGGAACAAGTCAAACAGCGGGGTCTGCAGGACCCCCCGGTTCTGGAGGTCCTGCTCGCTTTGTCCTACCCGCAGCCTTTCCCCAGCTCTTAACAGTGATCTCACCATCACCGAGCTGGAACAAAGGGAGCTCACAGGAAGGGGGGCTGCACCAGCCAATGTCACAGCACCACTCCGGGGCCACCAGCGCTGCGTTTGGTAGGAAACTGCAAAATTAGCTCAACGGCTCAAATAGAAGTTTTCCTTTTTCGGAAAGGGAACAGGGCGGCCAAGGCATGGGATGCTTCTCCCAGAAACGCCACCCGGGGGGCCAAACTCCGGCAGGGCAGCCAGTTTCTTGGGATGCAAACTCCGTGCTGGCACAGGGCCGAATCCTTTTATAGGCTGGGTGGAGGGAATGTTGCACTTCAAGCCTCGCTCGGGGCGTTTGTCCTCCCAGAACTTTGAAAAGAAAATGCCACAGGACTGAGAGAAAAGGGCAGGTGTTGAGGATAAGTTTTGCGTTGCCTTCGCGCTCGGGCCGCTTAGCTAGGCGTTGGCCGGCTGGTGCCAGGCGGCGGTGGAGACCTCGGCCCTTCTCCCAACATGCAGTCCCCAGGCACTGGTCCTCTCTTTCCTCCTGCGGGCGATGCTAGGTCCCAGGTCGATGGCCGTGCTTGGCTTTACAGTGCAAAATGTGCTTGGCAAGGAAGTCGAGGCGGCGCTGCAGCAGCTGAGCGTGGGGGTCTGCGAGCGCCGCCAGCTCCGGGAAGCGAGGCTCGTGGTGCCGGTAGAGGCGCAGCAGCCGGGCGGCTGCGTCCTGGCCGCGGTGCAGCTCCAGGACTCGCCGCGCTGTCCGCTCGCGGAACACGCACACCGACTGCAGCAACGGCTCGTTGTACTTGTCCCACATGCCCGCCACCCGGTAGCCGTGCACCAAGCCCGCCTCGTTATCCAGAAAGACCAGCGCCCCGCCGGGGCCCCGGTGCAGGTTGCTGGTGGCGCGCTGCATGACGCGCGGGTCCCACTGCAGGCTGAAGAGGTTGCTGACTAGCCGGTCGAAGTTGGCCGTCAGGTAGTCGAAGAGGATCAAGTCGGTCCATTGCACCAGGTCCACCAGCTCCGCCTGGCTGCGGTTGGCCAGCTCGCCTCCCGCGGCGCGCAGGGGCCGCAGATGGCCGTCCTCGGAGCGCCAAGGCGCGGGTACCACAACGTCGGTGAGGTTGGGCAGCCAGCGCGTCAGGCTCACCACGCTACCCTCGGTCCAGTGCGCAGCACGGAGCTCCTCCTGCACCTGCGCCCACTGCGCGCCCCGAGCCTCCACCCGGGCCAGTGCCAGGGGCGGCACGTGGCGCTGGAGGCCCAGCAGGCGCGCCAGGTAGTAGGACAGGGCCTCGCCCTGGATCTGCTCCGGGTTGATGCCATAGCGCACGCAGGCGCGGGTGCCGTCGGCGAAGCGGGCGAGCCGGTTGGAGCTGCGCCCGCAGCCCCCGCGCTCCAGGGCCACCACCCGGGCGCCGCGCACCGCCTCCAGCCACGCCGCCGCCTGGGCCTCCGAGAAGCCCCGGGGCACCTGCTCCTCCAGGCCGCGGCTCCAGAAGACGCCCCCGTGCACCGCGGCGCGCTCCTCCGGCCAGGGCTGCCCAGCTGGCACGTGCCGTCTGCGCTCGCCCGGGGGCTGCCGGGGCGGGCCGTCGGCTGCGCCCGCCGCCAAGGTGAGCAGCGCCCGGAAAGTTTTCAGGGAGCCGCCGCCGGCGTCCCGCGCCAGGGGCGGGGGCAGAGGCAAGCGGGGCGCGGGCTCCGGGCCGCCGCTCCGGGCTGCGCTCCGCGGGGGTCGGTCTTCGGGCTGCCGGGAGGCGGGCAGTTCGGTCCGCGGCGGCAGGAGCGCGCCCCACAGCACCAGCAGCGAGCTCAGCGCCAGCAGCCAGAGCCCCGCGGTGGCGGCGCCCCGCATCCTCCTGCCCAGGCTCCCCCGGCCGCGCCGGTGCCGCCGCAGCTTCAAGCCGAGCCTCGGCGCCCGGGTCCCGGCGGCGGGGCGGGCCCGGCAGCTTGCTGGCTCCGGGGCTCCGGGCGCCCCAGCCCCATCGCGGCCGCGGGGCGCAGCGGGGCTCTGCCCGGCGCTCCGCCCGGCGCTGGGAACTCGCCTCGCAGCCGCTTCCCAGCTGCTTTTGTATTTCGCTGTGAGACCCTCCGGCGGGCGCGATTCACAGGCGCGCGGACCACGTGGGAGAGAGGGGGATCCCCCCTCCCCCGGCTCCGCCGCTGCTCCCCGCCCCCCACCTCCCGCCCCCTGCCCCTCCTCTTTCCCTTAAAGCGGCGATGGCTCCATGCAAGAGGGAGAGGCGGCCCCGCGCTCGGGCTGGGGTTTGGGGGCGCTAGCCCTGCGGGGGACGCCCGCGCGGGGGGCCCGAGGGGGCGACGCTGACCTGGAGTCCCGCGGGCCGCGAGGGACGCGCCCCCCGCCCTCGCCGAGATTGGGGGGTCGCCGAGTGCCGCCGCCTGGGCAGCGCCTGGCCCTCCTGCAAACTTCAGACTAACCCCTAATAGGCGCTCGGGATCCGCCGGGCGAGGAGCTGGGCGGGTCGCTCGGCCTCCGCGCTTTCCGCCGGGGTGATTCACCCGGCCTTATGTAAATCCCTGGGAATTTCACCGGGCCGCAGAGGATGAGACTCCAGCCCCGAGAGGAACCAGCCGTAGCAAACAACTTTGAACCCACACCCCACTTTCCTGTGCGCGCTCACCCGCCCTGGCCCCTGCGGGCTGGTGCGCCTGGAGGTTGGTGGCTCCGCCTTTCGTAGGGGATTTGCAGGGAATTCAGTCTCTCTGTGCAATGAGAACACCTAGGCCAGCAACCCTACATCCGTTCATCCTTTCCACACAGCGTCTGTCCTCGGTTCTGGTCACAGAGCAATGAAATCCTCAGATCCCGGCTCCACTGTGCCATGGAGCCCAGGTTTCAGGTGGGTACGCGTGTCCTAACTCAGGGGCCACCTCTTGTGGGGAGGGAGTGTCAGGGACAGTTTTGTTATAGGGCAGCCCCGATATTGAACGGGTTGCCTGGCTGTGGGTCCTCACCCGCGCGCTTACAAGGGACTTATTAATACTCCACTACAGGCACACGCAAAAGGTTAATAAAAGGTTTATTTACAAGGGAAAAGGAAATAAGGAAAATGTACAACTCAGGGAGAAATAGGGAAATAAAGTCTTTAATGCGTCCTACCCGATCCACCGACCTGGAAACCCAAAGGCACTCTCCGAGCTGACAGCTGGCGGAGAGCCCAAATGGGGGACCCCCCCCCTCCCAAAGCGCACGTGTCTGGCTTTATACCCCCCTGGCTGCTTAACCCCACCCTCTGGTCCCAGCCACCTTCCCTTTGGTGCTGATGGGATTTGGAGTTCCCAGTGTCTTTGGTTTTGGCCTGGGGTGGGGGTGGAGTCCACAAAGCCTGTATGGAATTAGCTTTAGGACATCCTTTTCCCTAAGGGGAAAAGTTTCTCTAAGGGAATGATGCTAGTGTGCCCATGAGGAAACCGAGGCGTGGAGAAAGGAGGGGACTTGTCCACGGTCCCACAGCCAGCAAGTCGAGAAGTCCAATTCACACGTGGGTCTCCTGGCGACATACCACTTTCCCTCCATCAAAAAGTTCACTGTTTTATCAAGTCAGCAGCAGCCTCATGTTTGCACTCACTTTTAGCCAATCACTTTATTCCCTAAATGTGATTTTCAACTCAGGAATGAAAAAGAAAATCCCCACGTTGTATTTGATTTTCTGGCTTCTGCATTTGATTTTCTGGGGGGAAATAAATGGCTGGGGGAGGAGATGTGGAAGCTAAATCCAAACCCCAAACAAAACCAGAAACCACCTTTGGGTTCAGTCCCCCAGGGAAGCTGCGAGCTGGCTGAGGGAAGCTGTTTGGTTAAGAATTAGCTCTTTCCCTTGCTACTCTGCACCAAAGTGTGTCCCCAATCCAAATCAAGATTTGCAGATAAGACACACGTTTGGGAAGGAAGTAGAACCCACTTCTAAAAGCAGGAGGATAAAATGTTTCCTTACACTGTGCTTCTTTTCTCTCTTTTTGTCCCCCCAACTGTATTAGGTCATCAGCTGGCACTGATTGTTTTATTCTCTAAAGAATGAATGTTCGAGAGTTTTCGAGCAAACTCCCTAATGTCTGTAGCTGAGCTGAGGCATCACAAGTGACCCCATCAGGGCCCTTCACGCACAGACCCAATGCCCCCTCAAGTGTTTCCGTATGGACAGAGGTGCGGGGTCTTTGTTGAATCTGCTATGCCACACGGTGGCTGTATAATGCTTTTTAAAAGATTTTATCTGGTGATGAGATTACTCGCTCCCACATGGAGCCTGAAACTTGATTCAGTAAAAGGTATCTGTGCAAGTAAGTGCCTTACCTCTCTCTTTCCCTGGCGATCAGGAACTATGTCTTACCAACTTTTTATTTCTTCCTGGCTTAGATGTTATACTAAATAGGTGCTCAATAAATTGAATTTAATTTTTGCGGTTTAATTTCTGAGGATTTTTAAAGCTGGGTTTTCAGTTTGAGTAAACTATAAGCAAGATCGCCACCTTGTGGGCATAAGTAGAATATCATCTAATTAGAAAAAAAAAGTGTATACATTAATGGGAAGATTAATTAAGTTAAATTCTGAGAATATTATGTGGCCATATGGTCCAGGCCATGTCGTAGGTGCTCTGGTGGAATCCAGAGTAGTTGATGTCTCTGTCTTTTTAGCTATTAGCAAAGACTAGTTAACTACCAGTGGTATTTCACGTAAACTCTAGGAGGAATCTTGCCTTGTTTTATGACTACCTGCCACAATGCCTGGTACTAGTGGGTGTTTAGGCAAAATCTGCTGAATAAGTCATTGGACTTACTGATCAAATGAGGCTCTGCAAGTCGCAGGTACAAATATCCTTACTACTAAGTCGTACAAAAGAATTTTCATTCATTTTAAAAGAGAAAAAATATCAGGGAAGGTTCTGCATAATGGAAGAGGAAGAAGTACATAAGTTTTCAATCTGGGAGGGCTGTCCTCAAACCCAGACACCCAAGGTCCCATAATCTTATGACAATATTACTGGTTCTGACAAAGAAACTGAGTCTAGATACAAGAAGTCCTCCAGCCTCTGAAGCCTCAGAGGATGGACTGGCTTTTTCATCACCCTTTAGAACTGGATGCTCCTTGGACCAGAATAGTATGAAAAATAGAAAATGCAGAATTACGGAATCAAAGGAATAAAACAACCAAAACTAATCAAACAAACAGTAAGCCCCAAAGTATAAAGCCATTTTTAAGTAGTAATTGATTATTTTAGATAGTGTTTAAAAACACTCCTCTAGGGCCTCCCGTGGTGGCACAGGTGATGGTGGCCGTGCTGTGAGGCTGTCCGCAGCCTCTGCAGCATGGGTTCGATCCCAGCCGGCCGGGGAGGGTCCCACATGGCGCAGCAGACCTCTCCTGTCTCACCTGCTGCTCCACTCAGCAGTGTATTTCATCAGTCTGCCTGTTCTGCTCCCTACTCTGTCTCTGGTGAATCCTCTCACCCTTCCACACCTCTGGCCTGTACCCCAGTTCTTGTATAAATAAATAACTAAATATTTAAAAAAAATAAAAATAAAGACACTCCTCTATTTATTTGTTAGAGGAAAACCCTCCCACTCTCTTTTACTTCTGGGTCTGAGGAGTCCTCCCTCTTTGCTCCCTACCCCCCTGGCCAAGTGGCTGTACTCTGGGGAACTTGGTGTAGGGTAAGTAAAATATCAGGCTTTTCTGCCCTCCCGCCATTAGGATAGATGATGGAACCTTGCAGTCCTGAATGCGTGCCTGATGGCGGGCACCTGGAATAGGGTGTGGGCATATGTAGATGGGGTTCACCAGGGCTAAGACTGGGCTTTTAAGGTCGGCGTCACAGGGATGCCAGCAGAAGCAGAGAAGCAGAAGGAGAGCAGAGAAGCAGAGATCACCAGAGAATGCCAAGAGCCCAGAAAGAGTGAAGACTTGCTGGGGGTTGGGAGGCCTGCCAGCCTCCTGGCCCCTCTGCACCCCTGCCTGCTGTGTACCTGGTAAATCCCAATAAAAGCCTGTAAAAGCCACTGAGGACTCCAGGACTGTCTCCTCCTTCACCCAGTCTGCTGGGTGAAGCAGCAGAAAACCTGCTCCATGTCCTGTCCTGATTTACACTTGGTCATGGTCACTGCACTGTGGACCCCAATCACTTCAGCCCCTCTCGCAGTTGCTGGGGGATGAGAGACGCTGCCCCCTCCATGGGAGCCTATTTTCACTTTGAAAACTTTCTTAATCTGATTTCTCAGAGTTTTCCGGGGGTGTCATCTTCCAATTGCTGGAAGAATGACCTGACAGCTAGAATGGTGACTCCTGGGGAACAGAGGCATGGCCTTGAGGTTTGGGAGCAGGGAAGGAGGCTTGAGTTGGAGCATTTTCCAAGTCTGGGTTTTCTACTCTGTGGCTGTTTCTTTTCCGGCTAGTGATTTCCCTTCTCTGAGTGTCAGTTTCCACACCTGACACATGAGAACAACAACAACAAAAAATGCTACCTACCTCTCAGGGCGGTGACAAAGTGCATGTGTGATGTCCGTAACCCTTAGTGGGTGCTTATTTTGGCCTTGGCCCAGGCTGAGACCTGCACATATGTTATCTCCTTGACCTCTCAGTTTTATTGTCTCCTGCTTACAGGTGGGGAAAACAAAACTTAGCCAGTAACTGACCTGAAGTCATACTGCAAATCAGCAGCAGCAAATCTAGAACGATGGAGGCCAAATTCTCTGCAAATTGTCAACGACTCGGAAAAGGTCAGATATATAAGCATTATTGCATTATGACAAAGTAGACTAACTCAGGTTAAATTTTGCATTGCAATGGTCTCTGGAGTGGCTCTTAAATGAAATGGTTAAAGTATGAAGCCTCAAAGCCAGATCGTCCAGGTTTAAAACTTAAGGGGTGTGTGACCTTGAGTAAGCTGCTTGACCTCTCTGTGCCTCAGAGTCTCTTTTGTAAACTGAAGTAATGATAATATTATCAATACTAATTAGAACTGTAACAGGGTGGTCTCCAGGAAAGGGGGAGGTTCCCTGCCCCACCCAAGAGAGGGTGGAGCTGAACAAAAAGAAAAGAGGAAGCGGCAGAAGAGACTGAGGAAGGAAGCAGGATGGAGCCAGGAGACCTGGAGGAGGCGCGAGAAGCCTAGAGACATGTGAAGAAACTGCTTGTCTTTTGGTCGTGGACGGGGTGACACAGATGTGGGTGAGACCCGTGGGGAGGTGACCATGGCAGCTTTTATCTTGATGTTGATTTTGCTCTTTTCCTTCCGGGCTTGTCTCGTTGTTTCTGACCCTTTTTTGTGGTTCCCCACTGGAAGATGCTTTAGACTTGTGGCAGGCTTTGGGGCCTTGCTCTGGACCATTCCCATATGGATGGACTTTTACCCACGAGGGGACGGGTAACTTCGGGTGCTTCATTTAAAAACTAGACTCTTTGCCTTTCCTGTATTGTTTCCTAGTTTTATTAAAGTTCCTTCCCATTAAAGTCTCCTATGTTTTGTGTTGATGCGGCGGATGGCAGAACCCATTTAGAATAGGCAGGTTTGCGGGGTTTGGGCTGCCCCTCTCCCTGTCCTATCACAGAACAATTATATAATATAAGGTAAGTGATAGTAACTGATTAGTAATAACAAGCCTGTTAGCTTCATTGTGATGCTCAAATTAGTCCTTGTATGTAAAGCACATAAAGGACTGAGTTCACTATTATATTCAAAAGTTTTCCTTATTTGTGGGTCTGCTAATCCTAAGTGGCCTATTTGGCCACCATTTTGTTACCTAAAGTTCTAAATCCCAAGCAAGTTCAGAACAGTCTCTGGTCAGTTAAGCACAGGAGCCCAACCCTGCAAGGTGCCTTTCAAATCAACCCAGAGCTTAAGGCTTCATCATTCTGGGCAGGGTATGCATCATCATCACCGGGAATGCCCCGGGGGTGGGGGCGTGCTGAGGATGGATATATGAAAAGGGACCCCAGAAACTGATCAGTGGAATGAATGCCTTGTTGATAAGATTGAAAGCATGGCTGGGGAACTAGAGCTTGATCTCAATTACAATAACCAAGTCATCAAGCAGATGAGAAGTGCCTGGAGGGCAGACTCACGACCCCTGACACTATAGATGACAGCACATTTTCTAGTTTCACCCTTCCCTTTCCTCTTTGTCCTCCTTCCTCTCAACTGATGCTGTATAATTCTTCAATCAATAAAAAGGCCAGGATATTTCTCTTCAGCAGCATCCTGCATTATATAGCCTGCTCCACGACTCCTGTTTCTTTATCAGTGTGGTGTTGCCCCAGGCAACAATCATTGCCTTATCACCCCCTTTCCACTGTTTTATTACTGAGATGGGGGCATCCTCTTCCTAGTCCACCCTTCATCAAACCTTACTTAGGTCTCAAGATACCTAATACAGGTGGCATTCCTGCCCTCTTTATGCCCAAGATGGGTGTCTTCAAGATGATTTTGGTCTTTTTCTTCCCTACAGAACTGGGCCAACAGACCCACCAAAGTCCCCGGTGTAACTTCCGGAGATCCAGAGCCCCCAACCCTTTTACTACTCTGTCCTCTTCAATTGCACCCTCTTCTGGGTCTTCTGAGTTACAAGCCTCCCCCAATGACACAGGACCCAGATGTACCCTTCTAGAAGCTTCTATGCAAAGGAAAAGAAAGACCCAGAAGAGTACAGTATTCCTTGAAATTTGGTATGATCCCCACTTCAGCCATAATGAGCTATGTGATCTTGGGCAGCTTTCTAACCTATCTGAAACAGTTTTCATTATATATATCTACCTCTCCTCAATTCTTCTCCCCTAGTGTATGGGGATCATTTTCTTTTTCTAGGTATTTCCCTATTTGACTGTGATTTGGATCTTCTAAGACTTGGTTAACCCACGTTAACCAAGTTAACTAGCATAAGAGACTATCAGAAACAGGTATAGACACACCTGGCTCAGGTAAATCCCACTGATAGCTAGGAGGTCAGGAAATGTTCTAGCCTTTGCAGCTAATCTACCTAATGAGTCCTGCTTTAAAAACACACTGTGTTTCTGGAAAAAAAAAATGATCCCTTAGTTTATGGTGAGACTAAGATTTTTATGATTCTCTTTATTCTGTGTAGCTCTCTTTTTGACCTGCCTTTGAAAAGGCTCCTGAGCCTCTGGTATTAGAGACTGGAATACAAAGTTTGGAGCATTGATGGATTAATTGAATACATTTGAGAGCAGTTGCTATGTAATTAGACACGTAGCTCAGTCACACATCACCATACCCTCAGGATAGGGTCTGATGGTAAAAGTTCTCACGGGGCATTTGGGCATCTGAGTGTCTTTCACTACTATAATTTGGTTCAACTAATGTTTACCATTCACATGCTGAGGGATACGGAACTGGGCAGTAAGTGATGGGGCATCGATTTTCTCCCAGGCATAATGCCCGCGTTGGGGATGGTTGGTTGTGTCTTCTCTGCAGTGGCCACCTTCCCTTCTTTCTTCTTGGCAGGTTTCCATCCTCTGCCACTGCCTGGTGCTAGGGGGAAGCTGAGTCCTGGTGTAGGGTAAAGAAAATATCAGGCTTTTCTGCCCTTCCGCCATCAGGATAGATGATGGATCCTTGTCCTTAATGCATGCCTGATGGCGGGCACCTGGAGTGGGGTGTGGGCATAGGTGGATGGTATTCAGCTGAGTTAAGACTGTGCTTTTAAGGGCGGCGTCACGGGGACACCAGCAGCAGCAGTAGAAGCCGAAGCAGCAGCAGTAGCAGCAGCAGTAGAAGCCACAGCCGAAGCCGAAAGAGAAGCCGAGAAGCAGCAGAACGAACGCCAGAGAGTCCAGATAGAGTGAAGACTTGCTGCCAGCACCCCTGCCTGCCATATGCCTGGTGAACCCCAAATAAAAAACCTGCAAAACTACTGAGGACTCTGGCTCCTCCTTTACCCGGTCTGCATGGGATCAGAAAACCTGCACTGTGGCCTGTCCTGCCTTTACACCTGGTTAGTCTAAACCAGCTGCGGAGCTTTCAGTGCTGTTCTCAGTGACTGGTTTAGACATTGGCATGTGACACCATTCTGGTCAGAGGGACCTGTAGGTAAGTCCACAGGGAGCTTTCTGGAGAAGATATCTGTACTATTACAGAAAGACACGGAAGGGCCACGCATCTTTCCTCCAGGCTTGATGTCGAATTTGAGGCTTGGAATGGTGGCAGTCACTGAGTAACTGCACAGGGAGCTAAGCGCACCCCTTGAAGGTGGCAGAGCAAAAGGATGGAGGAAGCAGGTCCTTGGTGATGCCACTGGTCCCCAAGTTAATCAACTCTGAGGCTGCCTTTCCTCTGGACTTCCCTTGTGGTTTCACCTATTCCAAGTTGGCATTCTGTGGTTTATGGCTGAAAGATTCCTAAATATACCTTCTGGAAGGACCTTGAAAGCCAGAATGGGAGCGAATATGTAAGCACATCTCTCCCTTTCCAGCTGTGCTACTCAGGAGGCAGTGTGGTGTGGTCTATTGGAATGTGAGCTTTGTAGCCTCGCTGAGTCTTGCACATACTAGCTGTGGCGTCTTGGGAAAGTCACTACCCTCTCTGGTGAATTTGTCTGAAAAACGAAGATGATAGCAGCACTTGCCTCATAACATTATTGTGTGAATAAAATACACACTAAGTGCTTTGTAAGTGTTTAATAAGTATTATCGATGGCTCTAGCCATTATAGAAATACAGTAAGTCCTTGTTTAACATTGTTGATAGGTTCTTGGGAAATACAACTTTAAGTAAAACAGTGTTTAACGAAAGCAGATCCTGGAGTAAATGTCCTTTCATGTAACATGAGTGGGATTTTGTTTTTCTCATCTTTTTGACATTATAAGAACCCCAAACTAAGCCACCTTATTGAGGGCCTGCTGTATAAACTAGATGAATGAACAGAGAAGGGCAGCAGCTTCCACCAGGGAAGTCCAGGAGGCTTCACCAAGAGGGCAGATGATAAGCTGAGTCTTGAAGGGCACAAGGATTTTGCGGGTCAGGTTTTTTGGGAGGAAGGGCATTTGGGGAGGCAGAGGGAGCCGTGCCTAGGCTCAGCAGCCCTGTGCCCGCAGGCAGGTAACCACGTCTTATAGGAGCACAGTTTTCTCATCCTTAAGAGCACTTGAGTGTGCTGGATTAGCTTAATCCTCTTTTGATAAGAGAAACAAAATTTCAACCCCCTTTCCTTGATGGAGAAACACAGCGTCAGAGAATCGCTACGGCTTCTTCATCCCTCACCTGTGATGGTTTCAACCCACTGTGAAGAAATTCACTCAACAAACATTCCCTAAAGGGGGTGACTCTCAAGGGCTTTGTTGATTCTTTGTTCATCGTGCCCAGAGCTTTATCCAGCGTACAATTAGCGAAGCTGCACTTACTCGGCTTCCCGAGGCCCTGCACAGCTCATCAGTCAGATAGATGCTGAAGCTTAATTAAGCTTGTAAAGCTTTCTGATTTCCTTAGATGAAAGGTGGCCCATAAGTACCGGGTTTTATTTTGGTGGCTCCTGCCAAAGGTTATTATAAATAGGACTTAGCGCGATGTGACTGGGCTCGTAGGGTGATAATGTGTCAAGACCAATCGAGGCTGCCAAGAGCAGAGATATTATCATAATGGTTCCATCATATGCAGTGGGTGTTAATGGAAGTGGCTGTGAGAGGAAAAAAAAGTACTGCAGGCAGCGAAGCTGGAGTGGAGGTGGCTGCAAGTGAAATATCGGCTGCTCCTGGATCTCCATCATAATCATTAGCTGTATTAGCCTCAGAGCCATTCTTCTGCCCTCCCGTCTAGACTAGACTCAAATGCAAATAAAAAATGGATGCTTTAGCTCCAAATGAAAATATATTCCTTTGCTGCTTTTTAAAATCCATTTACATTAAAATGATGGCCAACAGGTAAGTCATTTATAACTGGAGGCTCACTGCAGTGCGGACATGTGGTGTCGAATAGCGAGCAACCTCAGTGGGAAGCCCAGGGACTTCCAGACCCAGGAGAAGTTATCCCTGTTGGGCTGAAGATGGGTAGAAGAATATATAAGGCCAGGGGTAACTTAGCGACACTTCACTGGTGGGGAGTAGTGAAAACAGAGGTAGCTTCATGTTTCAACAGCGAAGGGGATGAAAACCATCTGAGGTCTTCAGTAATGCAGCCCTGGGGAAGAATATGCTGGCTTCCTGGGTCCCAGGTTCCATGGCTAAGACCAGTTTTCTGCATCACTTAGACAGTCAGTATATCTGATGAGGATGAGGGTAATGATGGTGGTGGTGGTGATGATGATGGTGGTGATGATGATGGTGATGATGATGATGGTGGTGGTGATGATGATGGTGGTGGTGATGATGATGGTGGAGGTGATGGTGATGGTGATGATGATGATGGTGGAGGTGATGGTGATGATGATGGTGGTGATGATGATGATGGTGGTGTTGGTGATGATGATGGTGATGATGGTGAAGATGATAGCAATGGAGTAACCCTGTTAGTTGACTCTTCCTTGATCTTTTGAGATTCAGTTAATCTTTTTTATATAAAGATTTATTTATTCATGTGTGCAAGAACTGGGGTATAGGCCAGAGGTTTTGGGGGTGAGAGGATCCACCAGAGACAGAGTGGGGAGCAGAACAGGCAGATCTATTGACATACACTGCTGAGAGGAGCAGTGGGCAAGACAGGAGAGGTTTGCTGTGCCATGTGGGTCACCTCCCTGGCTAGCTGGGGAATCGAACTTGTGTTGCAGAGGCTGCGGATAGCTTCACAGTGCTGTGCTTAATCCCTTGCGCCTCCAGAGAGGCCCAGATTCAGTTACTCTTCACCCAAATTCATATTCCATGGACTGGGCAGCTTCAGAGACTTCCCTTTATTTCTGAATGTCCCTGGGAGAAGAGTTCCTGGAGCCTGTTTCTCTGTGCTCACTTCCTGCTGCCATATGTGTTGTTTTGACTCCAGCACACATCACAGGGGTGTGAAGTTCAATGCCTTCATCACCCTATGTCCACCAAATCTCCATTTAGATATGAGTTTATTGGCTTCATTGAAGATCTAGGACACTCCTTGGGGGAAGGAGGTCATATCCCATGCCAGACATTTGTCCACCTAGCTGTCCCTGCCTTCCTCTCTCTCCTTACTCCCTCTGTGGGCAAGCAGGCACAATTTCCCTTTTCCTTCTTATGATTAGGGCTATTCACATTCAGGCCTCCTTGGGGTCTCAGCTCTTATTTCAAGTTTCCCTTGACATCAAAATGGGAAGGAATTCTGGTGGATACAATTTAACATTTCTGGGGTGCTTTGACTATACCAGGCAGTGTGTGAGCCCTCCATGCACCTAACATTTAAGATGTCACCCACACCTCTCACCCTTGTGGATGTTATTCCCCCATTTCGTTGATGGGAAAACTAGAACTTCATGAGATGTAAGATTGGCCCAGGAGGCTTCTGCTAAGTGACAAAAGAGGAATTCCAACTCTTGTCTGCAAACAGATCAAAGCTTTATTAAAAGGCAGTAGCATGGGGCCTCCTGGGGGAGAAATACCCTGGAGAGTTAGCAAGGCACCTCTTAGAAAGGGATCATCTCTTCCTTGGTCCTGGTACATTGTCTTACTCCAAGCATGTTTGCAACAGACACTGGCATCTCTGCTGTGTGCCTGAGAGATAAGGTGCAGTACGGAAACTCTATGGGGTTAATATCTTATAGAATGGTGGCGTGAAGAGTGGCTGAAAAAGAAGCAGGCTGACCTACTAGCACTGTCTCTAAGCCAGCAGGGGGATGGCACTGCCTTTGCCTCAGAACCAGAATCGCCTGGTGCAAGAACATCCACTGTCATCTGTCCTCTGGTTTCTGCCCTGCCACTCTGAGGGGGTGATGGGAAGCAAGGAATGTGCCTCTGCAGGTCCCTGTATTTGCTATTCATGTGCACTGAGCTCCCTCCTGCATATCTATGCTTCCTTTTCCTTTCACTCCAGGGAAAAAGGATGAAAGAAACCTTGGTGGCTGTTTCTTGCTTGCATGAGTGTAAAGAATGGCTGCGTTTTAGGTACAGTATAGGCCTGAGGGATAACAGGAGGAGGCTAGAGAATATGGTGGTGATGAACTCATCAGTACTCATCAGTACTCATCAGTACTCATGCAGCTTGCTGGGGGCTTGCACATGTGTGGCTGGTTGGACTGTCCCAATAACCTGCTACAGGGCAGTAGGCAGTGACAATGACTGCTCCTGTTTGATGAAGGAGAAAGCTGAGCCTCACAGGGCAGTATGAGGAGCTAAAGGTGCCCAGATAGTTCCTGGCCATCTGGGAACTTGAACACACGTTACCTTACGTCCACACCAGAGCCGGCCCATGGCCTCTTTTTGCTCAGCTCTGCTCACTTCGCAGATGCTGTCACTGCCTTCTATTTCCACCTGTGTGTCCATGTTATGTTTGTTACATGACCGCTAAAACTCCAGCATTGAGGGCAGAAATCGAAATTCAGGGGCATTTCCTCAAAAATGGGAATATTTAGTAGCTCCTCTCCCATTAAGTGGTGCTTTTTTATTGCTCCTATTAGCACCTATGATGGAAGGGAAAAAAGAAAGAAAAATGAGAAAGGAGGATTAGGGAAAAATTGTGAGAGATCATTCAAACATCTTTTTTTTTTTTTTTGCTTGACAATCTCTGTTGGTGAGCCAACAGAATATCTAATTAAAGGGAGTGAGAGAAAGAGGAGGTAAGCCCTAATCATTGGGTTATTTTCAAAGTGACTTTTGCAGAGAGAGGAAGATCATAAAACAAATCTGAAATGAGAAAGAGAAAATGGTAAGAAGAAAAAAACTGTCTCTTGATTTTCTGCTCCCATTCCTGATACTTCTTGCTCACATAGGTAGAACGAAACCAGCAGACCAAAGC